TATGTGATTCTAGTACCCAATAGATGCATGTTTTTTATCAAAATGCTCATTAACAGAATAACAAAGGTTTAATTATTGCCATTGCTTTTGGATCTAAAACTCCACTGCAAATGGAGTAACAGAGGTTTGGTTTTGGATTGTTTTCTTTGAGTTTTTTTTTTTCCTTTGGTCTGCAGGTTCATTTAGAAGATTTTCTCAGAATTATTATGTATAGAAATAATTTGCTTCTGTCACAGTTGTAGGAACCACTATGTGAGTATTCCTTCAGGCATATATTTCAGGCAGCACAGACAAAACTTGAGCTGTAATTAGCATTACAATTCTCACCCATTTCTAGCAAAGTTAGTCCAGTATTTCATAACAGTTCTGCTAAGTTTTTCTTCTTCTTCTGTAGCATGCCCTGCAAAGTGAGAGACAAAATAGCAATACTAAAACCTGAATAATCAAAAAAGTAGCAGCTATATAAATTTCAATAGACTGTAATCAGTTCTACTAATTACTCTGAGCTATAGTTCTACCTGAGCAGCACTCTAGAAGAGGACAGCAGATGAATGGTTTCATGAGAAGTAGCTGCTACTAGAGACAGAAAATGTTTAAGCTGGGTCCAGTGTTTCTAAAAGAAACATTTCTATTCTAAAGCCTCCCAGTAGGTAATATGAGTAATAATGATGTTTTAAAAGGAATACATTAGAAGAATCAATACATCACCAGCCAAGAATGGCTTTCCAAAGACAAAGGCAATCTCATCTGTATGATCTGCTTTTACAGACTCTGGTATAACACCTTCTCCTGAACTTGGTCGATGTTGAAATTCATAAAAGTAGACTGGGTTGCCAGCATCTAGTAGAAAAGATACAGAAGAGCGTTAGTGGAAGAGCTGAAAATATCTATAATGAAAGATAATAAATTTCCATTACAAGCAGTTTTGGTAAAATGAAAACACTATTTTTTTTCTTTGGATAATGAAGTGTGATTTATACTGTCCAAAACACACCCCTGGAATTACACATTTCTTTTAATAGATGCTGAATCAGAGACATACCTCTGTGGTATCTAGCCATTTGAATGGATGGCAGAACAAAAACAGAATCTCCTAATGCATCAAGAATGCCATCTCGTACTTCAGCACTGGTTTTTGCATTCCCTACGTATTCATTGTATACGCGATCAACAACTTCAGAAGCACCCTGAAATGAACAACAAAAATACTTCTTATAATAATGACAAATATAATAAAGATTAACAGCACTAATTGAGTGTGCCATCTGCACATCCCTGGCTAAACCCCAAACATTACTACTTTCAGAGAAAATCCTCAACTGTGTCAGAGTGTGGCTCAAAGCTCAGAATCAGGAGTTACACAGCTACCAGTTATAGATGTTCTCAGGGAAAAGAGGTTTGCAAGATCTAAAGCTCAAACATCTTTAGATAAACATCAGTCAGTGATGCTGATAAACAGGTACAGTAGCCTGTTCTGCCTTCTGTGGAAGTAACTCTCATAAGACATTCTGTTGGCTTCCATAAAATTAATTTATTGCTGTAGATAGACAGACATAACTTGGTCTAAAAACCAAGCCTTTCCAAGTTCATGATGGTTGTTGTGACACTGAATGATCCATTCCAAATCCTGGCCACATTTATAAAATCCTTCTTACCTATTAATATGTGTTTTTCTGTACTTAGTATTTCAGGAGAGCACAAAGGAACCAGAAAGCTGAGAGGTATGTACATTAAAGGGAAGCAAAACCACAACAAACCTGAATATAGGTCTCTCAGAGCCATTTTAAACATCTCACGTTGTCCTTTCTGGTCTCCAGCTACTGCTTCAGAATGGTGTGTTCTATAGATCTTGTGTCATACGCATGTTCTGGCTAATCTAAGGTATCTAAAATGTCACAAGAGGCCTATGTTTAGGTACCTGAATCACCTCTGGATTTCCACAGAACTCTTTTAAAAAGAGAGGTACTTAGGATAGAAATGTAGCGTGTATTTTCAATCACTAATGGCAGGAATGACAGGAATACACCACAAATGCTGCTCAGCACTGCCCCATGGTAGGAAGCTGTCAAACAGCTTTGTTTGAAAGAAGTTTGTCTAAAAGTACTCCTCCAGGAGTACAAACACAAAACCAGATCAGTGAAGAAGCAGCACTAGGGTATTCTGAAAATGGCCTCTTACCTTAAATGGTAATGCTAAGGAGGTCTGTAAAACTTGACGTGAAACATTTTCATCCAGATCATCTGTGTAAGCAGGAAATTTCATCACCTGCATGATACAGAATAGTATTGATTAGAAAATCTTATATGAATAAAATAATCCTGTATTAACAAAACAATATATAAATAACAACATGATTGGTCTCTTACCATAGGAATTAAGTATCCAAATTCACAATTATTTACTCCTATTATATATGGGACTGCATTGATCGCATTTTCAGATAGTAATTGCTCGGGACTCTTTGGAAAAAACACCCCATCTATAGCTGCATTGGCGGACATGGAAGGCTGGACAAAAAAAGAAGAAAAAAAAAGGGAAAAAACCCACAGACCACAAAGCTTCATTAATATATTAATTATGCTTCTAGGAAAAAAACCTATTTTTTTACTGTAGTGCCAAAGAAAAATAAATTGCCAACTGAAAATCTAATAATTAATAGTATTCAAACTACTTCTAAATTGTCTGTGACACATTTTCTGCAGAAGATTCAGTGAAGATTAGCATCATACTTTTAATGTTTGCAAAACATAGATGATGATGTCCAGTTCACATCTCTTCTTAGGTTCATGTGTGGAACAGTCAGGGAAAAAAAACGATTTTTGTGTTGAAATTGCAAAGGAACATGAATTCCAGCATTGTGATAAGAAATTTTAAATATGACATATTATAGTAATTAATTTTCAGGTTCTCCAGGAGAAACTGTGGTATTTTCCACACTCTCTTCCTTCTCCTGGTACAGCATGACAGCAAAATACAGGTAGCTTAAAGTCCATGCAGAATGAAAGGGAAGTAACCTGTTTACATTTTTCAGGTGAAGTATAGCATAGCATATCACAGTATCACAGTATGTTAGAGGTTGGAAGGGACCTCAAAAGATCATCTAGTCCAATCCCCCTGCCGGAGCAGGAACACCTAGATAAGGTTACACAGGAACGTGTCCAGGTGGGTTTTGAATGTCTCCAGAGAAGGAGACTCCACAACCTCCCTGGGCAGCCTGTTCCAGTGTTCTGTCACCCTCACTGAGAAGAAGTTTCTTCTCAAGTTTAAGTGGAACCTCTCGTGTTCCAGTTTGTACCCATTGCCCCTTGTCCTATCATTGTTTGCCACTGAGAAGAGCCTGGCTCCATCCTCGTCACACTCCCCCATTTATATATTTATATACACTAATAAGGTCACCCCTCAATCTCCTCTTCTCCAAACTATAGAGACCCAGCTCCCTCAGTCTTTCCTCATAAGGGGGATGCTCCACTCCCTTAATCATCTTAGTTGCCCTGCACTGGACTCTCTCCAGCAGGTCCCTGTCCTTCTTAAACTGAGGGGCCCAGAACTGGACACAGTATTCCAGATGCGGTCTCACCAGGGCAGAGTAGAGGGGAAGGAGGACCTCTCTCGACCTACTAACCACCCCCCTTCTAATACACCCCAGGATGCCATTGGCCTTCTTGACAACAAGGGCACAGTGTCGGCTCATGGTCACCCTGTCGTCAAATCCTGAGAGGGTCAAGCAGATAGATATTTCAGCCACTTCACATTCTAATATTACAACAGCCAAACAGCATACTCTGTTACAATAGAATTTGAAATGCCGTTTGAAACCAAAAAGTGTAATTTCACGTACCAGTTTTAGCATTGCCTGTACTATCTCTTCTTCTGTTTTTCCTCTTAAGCATTCAACTATGGCAGCTGAACTCGGTTTTTCACAGCCGGAGGCAGCAGCAATTCTCTGCAATTGACAAAAAAAACAACACTTCTTCAGGTACTTCCCATATTCCCATATGAAGCTGCGGCTGAGCGTCCAGCAGGGGGAAGTCTAAGCTTGTGCATTAAGGATCATCGAGGCCATCCATGTTCCCCCTGCAGAGGTAGAGAACAGGAAGCCCTCCTAACTCTACACAGTGTGAGCTGAGCAGAAAGACAAAACGTGCCTCCAGAATATTTTGATACAGGAATAGACCGAGAAAGTCATTCTGATAAATAACATGGGCTGAGAAGGCAGGATGACATGAAGGAGTCAGAGTCATGTATAATCCGAATACAGCCGGTAGATAGATGGTAACAAAGAACACATTATACAATTATTGATGATGTCTTTCTGACGGAATAACAGTCATCATTAGAGAAACAGAGCTCTTTATAATGTTGCCTCTTTTATATCCCAGATTTTCAAATCTCGGTTCCTGGGATTTTTATTTATTCCCCCCCCATTAAATAATAATTATTAAAAAAAACGGGGGGGGGGAGGAAAAAAAAAGAAGTTGAAACCAGCTCTTCTTTTCAAATATAAACGAATAGAATAAAGTCTTGTTTATTTGCACACAACAGGCACCAAACAGCAGGGAAAAAGAAGAATACTTGGCATCTGGTGCTGTTTTCCTGCCAAAAATTACATCTCAACTTTTCTTGAAGTCAGTATATGTTATAGTATTCCTTTAAATGTCACACTTCTTCCCTGCCTTCCCTCATCACTTTGTTAGTCTTTCACTTTCAATCAGGCATATATGGATATTTGGGTATTTGACAAGCAAGGCATCATTAAATATGAATTATTTCCACAGAAGTACTGTCTTTAATGACTGTGGTTGTAGTTTCACAAGACAAAAATCTGTTTCTACATTTGGGGTATGCTGTTTAAGGTATGCAAAACTATTTGGAAAAATAATTAAAATTGTCACAAAATACTTACTTGTGCTTCCTCCTCAGGATGGTCAGTGAACAAAGCTCTGACTGCAGTACCACTCTCTGAAATGGCCTTATGGAACAAGCCCTTTGCTAGGGGAGATAAGATCTGTGAAAAAAACCAAGAACAAGCATTTCAAGCATGACAAGCACTGTGTTCTGACCACTGACTTATAATTTCAGTATCAGGAATTGCCCTTTAAAATATTTTGAAAACAAATGTTGTAAGACTGTTATTCTGTAGGCTCTGATCATAATTCAGCCATGCAAAGAGCTTTGGCAGCACTGTCAAGAAGTTTGTGCCTGCCTTTTGCTCTCCCATAGCAACTTGCTTCCAAGACTACACTGCAAGCCAGATATAGATGAAATAGAACCGTGTCCAAGATAGCCTGGTTGTGCTGCAGAAGAGGAATAAAGAGCTACTGGCCAGAGGTCAGAAGCTTACAGCAGAGATTTTTATCACATGTATCTCTGAACCCTGGTTTCACTATGTGATCTGTACCAAATTGTGAGAGACTGGATAAGAAGAAACTCTTGGCTAATGTGCTCAGTGTTGATATAAAAATTTTACATTATCACTGGGTCACAAAGTGCATATCTATTTCAGCCATCATGACTATTCACCTCATTTGCACAAGTGGCTCTCAAAGCAACTAGGAAATTGGCAATACGCCCCCTTAAAGAACTTCTCAGGGTAAATTTTGGGGGTTTTGGCAATGAAAGCCTTCCCCTCCGCCCCTGAATTTTATTTAGTAGATGAGAAGTCACACTTTGGGTCTGAACTACAAGATTTGGGTATGAAAATACCATTTTCATCAATCAGAAGCTGTATTATATTGTATTATAGACCAAGGTGATGAGTCATTTCCTGTAAAACAATTCCTTTTCTCTCACTGACTTTACATGCAGGTACTACAAATGAAAGCAGATGGTGTTTTTCTCCCCCAAGTAATTAAAATCCAGTATTACTATGAACTTACAAGAGCAGAAACGCTGATTCCTCCTGCAGATTCACCAGCAATAGTGACAGATCCTGGATCACCTCCAAAATGCATGATATTTTCCTGAATCCACTGAAGAGCTGCTACTTGATCTAAATACCCCCAGTTACCTCGGGCATGCTTATCACCGGTGCTGCAGAGGAAGAACAGATTTGTTTTAAATGCTCAATGCAAGAAAAAAAGGCAGAAAAATTACAACCTGTGGTATAAGAAATCAGTTGCCATTATCTACACAGAGTTTTTCTACATAACTGAAAAATAAATGCTCACAAAGCATTGAGATCAGAGTAGCAGTCAAACAACAGACCTGGAAGCTGATTTGGGACTTTAAAATTATTCCCAACTGTTGCATATGTAATTAAAAAATGTATAGTTTCTTTGCATAAGCAAGTATTCCATATGTCTCTATACAGAGGCTCTGCACACGTAATTTTAGAAATCACTTAGCAAAAAACACCATAAAATATCTTACCTAAAATACCCAAGAATATTTAATCTGTACTGAATTGTTACAACTACCACATTGTTGAATGCCGCTAATGCTGAACCATCGTATGATGAAGCTGCTCCAAGAGCTAATCCACCTCCATGGATCCATACAAAGACCTGAAAAGACAAAACCAGAAGCAACCCAGCACAGAGAAGAGCTCTCAGTGATAAAAACTAAATATAAGCCAATATACAGTATTTTGTGCTATTTCACTCCTGAATCTTTCAGATTTCATTTCACAAATAGAAATCTTTCAAGATGAGGCCTGCAAACTTACAAAATGGCACTGATTTTATTAAATACTTACACTATATCAGTGCCCCATGACTTTTCACAGATTATTCAGAAGAAATCAATCATTACCTAAATAAAACATCAATAACTTTTTATTTATAAAATAGGATTTTGTATCTCTTAAATCTCAGCAAATACCTACTGGGGCAAAGCATGTAAGTTAATCAGCATTACCACACTGCTTGTCTAGGTCTGCATACAGCACAGGTCATAGGTTTGCTGTAAGATAATTTTGCTAGAGGTCTTATAATGATTTTGCTTACAGGCAGCCTTTCCTGTTTTCCTGTAGAAATGGGTGTATACACATTTAGGTATAAGCAATCTTCAGACACTTGCAGGATAACTTTTTCTTTTCTATTAGTAACATAGTTTGACAAAAATTGTCCTTCTTTACCCTGTAGACACCTGAATTAAAAAACAAAACAAAACAAAAAGAAACAGAGATAACTAAAACCTTAAAGCTATAAATTGTAGTTTTTCTATTCTTTTACAACAAAATGCAAACCAGAAACCAGTCTCTGGCACATTTGTAGATTGTTGGCAACAGAAAATATAATCATTTGGGGTTTTTTTCACTTTAAATGTGTTTTCTCCCTTTGACCTGGCATTAAAGAGAGTCAGAACAGAGACATAGTCTACGGCAGTACACAGTGACATGCAGATATAATTTTGCATGTTTCAAAATATCACAGCAATATACCTGCAAATACACATGGCCTTAAATCACTTCAGTGGAAACACAAATTAATTATTTTACATCTTCAATAGCTTTTTATAATGCTGCTAGGTATTAAGCTTGAGGCATTAAACAAGAGCAGTAGTACAAATGGAGTAAGACATTTACAGTATAGACTAGAACTGGTCAGTCTTTCTTGTGTGTCCTGTTAAGCATGTGTCTCAGCATTTTTTTAATTCTAATATTGCATTCCAACATTTCCTCAGTTTCTTCCTGTTTCTGCTCCAAAGCTACACAGTTTATAAACATTGCCAAGTTATGGCCAAATGCTCCCAAAACAGAACATTATTGGCAAAGTGCCAGTCCATTTTAGTTCATCATTGATGTCCATTAGATAGCATTTTTTAATAAAACCAGAAGATTATAAAGATGCCTTTAGAAATGCATTCATTGTTAACAGTTGCAGGTGGCACCAAGGAATTAAACTTTGTGGATTTTCACTGCCCTGTACATCAGTGTCCTGGAATTCCATATTAATAAAGATCTATTTTTTTGTCACTGTCTTACATTGGTGGATAGGAAGTGGCATCTCTGACATCCTTCCATGGCTCAGGTGGCTGGGGTTCAGAAAACCTCAGTAGTCCAACAGGGGGCTTAGCAAAAGGAACTCCCAAAAAAACATTCACACTCTTCTCAGCTGCGTCTACTTTGAATTGGTAACCTCGAAGTGTCCCGTACTTGGTCACCACTTCTGGTTGCTCTGCTTTCTGCTCTGGAGAATATGAACACAAAATTACATAATCAGTCCATTCATGAGTAACTGCCAGATTTCTAAGAGCTTTAGCTACATAAATACACACCTTTTGTTTGCTTTAACAATTAATTTCCAAGCATAAGACTTCAACAAACTCTAGTCAATATAACTGACATTATTTCAGCCTTCATTTTGATTGGTTTGTATGTATGATCTATCTTGGGTATATGTATTTTCTTACTACATACACACATTAATAATTGCATATAGATCTTAATCTTTTTTGATCCAAGTTGTTAGTTAAAAGTCCAAGAGGTTGCTGTCATGAAGAAAAGGCATTTCCTTTTTAGGAAGACCGTGAGCACACGAAATACATTCCAGATGCTTGATATAGGGTACACAGCTAAATGAAAAAGCTTCTAACATACTGAAAATAATCTGGCAGATACAAATACTGTTAAGATTTAAGCAAGATTCATTTTAAGATGGAAGTTCTCAATACCAAATTACAAATCTGGATCAGTCATCTGCTGTGTCTCATCAACCAAGATTTTGGAACAAGAATTCGATTTTGCTATTTGCAAAAAAAGGCAAGTAAGACAAATGACTGAAAACAGATCACAGAAATTAGTTAAGAACTCTTGCTATTCAGACTTAATTTCACTGCAGTGAGGTTGAGTGCCCAGCTCCTCTGATAAAGCTGGGGTTCCCCTAGGCAAGCAAGCTTAAACGTGGGGTTCTCTTAGGGGAGAAAGCTGCACCTCCGCTCTATTTCCTTACTGAAGGCAATGGGGAAAAGCCCTTCTGCAGCTTACCAGTAGCTAAAAGTGCTGTGACCTGCATGGTGAGAATCAAGCACAGCAGCAACGTTTCCTTTGCAGTTGCCATATTGCAAGCTAGTCACGTTTGTGTCCTCAGTGCATTGCCTTATATATTCTAGTACGTGTAACTGTTACGCAAGGCGAATACTGATTAGGAAAAGCAACACCCAAGCTGTAAGCCAACCTAGCTGCAGGCATCCAGAGCAACTGCCCTGCTCATAAGGCACTCCTCCAGGGGAAATGCACCACGATCGCACTGCATGTGGCCCCACAGGTTTCATACTGGCTCTCTAGTGCCCCTTCTCTCATTCGCAAAACCTCAGGCATCAACTATGTGCTTTAAAATGCTTTGAAAACAGTTGTCTCCTACTACACCAGGAGACTTGTCCTGCTGCTGTAACCCTGCAATTTTCCACAATAAAGCTGGGATTTCCTCATACCACACAGTGAAGAGATCAGGAAAAGAACTGTATTTTCATTACATCTATTTACTTTGTTTTGGCATCAGTATCTCAATGTAAGGAACACACAATATAGCCACAAAGAACAAAATCCAAATCCATACTCCTGAAAAATGTGCTTTTGCTGAAGTAAAAGTTGAGGGATTTTTATTCTCGCAGGAGGATACTGCTTGACAAAAACAATACTAGAAGAATCTTAGCTTTCCCTGCAGGGTGGATACTCCGTCACTCAGTCCTGTATGTTCAGGGATGGTTGTTTGGTATCTAACATGAGTTTTGCAATACTAAACTGGTGAGTTTTTTCAGTTTTTGTAGTGTGGGAACAATATTGAAGGGTTTGGGTGGAACTATACATTTAATACCTCTGAAAAATCAGAAGCATGCATGGGCTTCTGTGTGAACTCGCATCTGTCATTGGAGTGCAATACGAAAAGGAGGGAAGCTGAACAGAAATGAAAAGAGATTATCCACCCACGTTAACTAAGGGATTGTGCTAGATTTATGTAAGCTTTGGCCCTTGTTCCCCTGTTTTTCTGGCAAGGTTCAGTAACTCTTGCCCCAGAAAGGCCATTTTGCAATTTTATGTCATGAGAATTCTCAGTTTCCAGAGACAGCATTTCTATAGATTCACCTACTGCTTGCACATTTGTTTTCAGCTAAGTGGGCTGTGAAGACCCACAGTCATTAAAGCAGTTCAGCACCTATATGATGCACCTAGTAGTCCCGTGCACTATGGCTATGCTTGTGTACTTTACTTCAGATCTTCCTAAGTGTTTCTGCACAGGTGTGATTTATAGCCCTCATAGGTAAACCCCAGTCAACTTTATACTGGACTGCTTAGAGAGCAAACTGTTGACAGGTAGATGTACACGTTCAGTGCATGCTGCGTATCTTAAGCACTTGCTTTGTTAATCAGGAGACTCCTGCCCTCTGTACTGAGCTCTGCACTGCTGCTGCCGTGCTGTTAACAATGCCAGTGCCGTGCTTTGTTACAAAGCAATGCTGTGAACTCTGCTTGCTCCTTTCTCCTTTTGGTGTTGCAGACTTTATCTTCATAAACAGTTCCTCTTCTCTCCCTGATCTTTACTGATTTTAATCTTCATAAACAGTTCCTCTTCTCTCCCTGATCTTTACTGATTTTACTGAACTGTCCTTTCTCATCTGCTTTCCCATTACATCCACCCCCCCCCCAACTGGCTATTTCCAAGCCTTAATCTTCACTACTGCTCTCCCAAGTACCCTTCTACAAAATGGCTTAACCCATATCCAATCCACACTCCCAGGGAAGAAGCCATTCTAAAAATATTACGAAACAGTTTCTGCAAACTCTGCCAATTTTACTTACAAAAGGATAATAAAGAAAATGGATTTTAGGACCCTACAGCCTTACCTGTAAATACTTTGTATGGATCTGCAAGCATGACCTATATGCACTGCAACTGTGGAAACTTTTACTCTTTCGACATAGGCTAAACTGGAGACAGTGCTACATACCTGAAAAGTGTAATTCTTGAATCCTGTTTGGCATTACATTTTGATAACATTTTGCAGTTTACCCTCAAACAGTGAAAAATGCGTAAATCAGGGATAAATAAAAAAAACCTCCCGACATATGATGACATTTGCCTCTACATTTAAA